TTTTGAACTCTCAGTTAATCAAATTATGTATCGAGCGTGTTTATTGCGGAAATAGTGATCGATCCGCAAGCAAATATATAGACGTTCAAAATAAATGATGGGTAAAAAAAATCGCCAGTGGGAATCAACTCGATTTCAGTGAAAACGAAATTAAAAGGACATTCTTGTCGATGAACTCAAGGTATTATGTTCTTTATGAATGCACCTGGGTCATGTGATTCATTAAGTAAAAAGTACATATAGCCAGTAGATAGTGGATGGATGAATGAAACTTCCTACCAATTGTGCGCAATCGACAGTTCACATAATAAGAATGGATGTCAGATGTTTTATCTCAGCTACTAATCGTTCAATTTTCCGTCCAATATATGCTGTCTAGTTTTAATTATACTTGTCAATGTATCGAAAGATTCGGTACTGGCCAATAAGTCGGTTTGAATCATTTGCGTAAAATTAATTCAAGCAATTCATATCATGATGGCTGTAGAAATTATGCACGGCACATGTCATAAATTCGGAAGCTTTTCATTTTCGACTTCAAAACCTATTCAAAATATCAAATTCAATTCAATTTAATTTCGAAGGAATTCGATGAACGGCATCTATATACATAGATGAGTCCAGCTTCCTGTCCATCAAAAGCATTACTTGTTACTCTTTTCTCTTCTTCAAGCATTTCATTAAATAAATAATAAAATCGATTTATTTCTAGTATAAGATACATCAAACGATTAATCCTCTGCAACAAACTAATTTTCCATAACATTATTATTTCAACAACGTATTTTTAACGTTGAATTTCATGTGAGTATGTTTCTGAGTATATGTGTAGTGGACGTGTTTTTTTTCTTCAAAAAGAAATGAATAACCGTATACAAAGTGAAATCTGAAAAGCATAGTGACATTTTTTTATCATTTAAATCATTTTATCAGATTGTGTGTGTATGTATATCATGCCGCCAATGTAGATGTATAGCAAAAAAATCTTCAATACAAATGTAAAATTTGACATCAGCACCCACACATTGTGAATGCGCATACAAACGTATTCTCCTGCAGTCGCACACCCTCGCATACAGTAAGCTTTCGGTAAGCTTGTGCCATGGTGTGCATATGAATTTGTATAACTTTATAATATTATATTATGGAATTGGAATGGAAATCATCAGTAAGCACGCAACGCTTTGGCATGCTTGCATGTTGGGATTTTGCATGTGAAGCTGTTCGGTTTGTTGTTCTTCGCACAAGTCCCAAATAAAAATGCGCTTCGAGTCGCTTTCTTTGTTTGGATTGTATTTCAGTCTCTCGATGGCGTGTATAAAGAAAATGAAGCATAGAAAAAAATCTTTTGAATATGTGTCATTTTGGAGGGTATCAATAAAAAGCACAGAACAACACGCAACTGTGTGTTTCGAATATGCGGGAAACTGAGGGAGGTGACCAAATCTTTAAAACTTATACAATAAAGCTATTGTATATACTATCGGGGGGAAAAACATTTCGCTGATAGCATTCATGGCTCACTCAACAAAAAGCACGTTGATGTAATGGTACACCATTCACACACAACTTCATTGTGTTAAGCATTGTGCTTTTACTCTCCCAATAGCTCCATCATAACTGTTAACTTTTTTGTCGCTTTGCCTGTGCACCTTTATGAAACGATTGCTGTAAGCTCTATTCTTCTGATATGGCTCTCATTCAATCATGGTAGATGGATTTTTCGATGACGGAGTATAAATCAGTGCAAATCTACGTTTTGTCGTAATCGGAGGCGCGCTCCAAACTCCATAAAATAAATATCGTTTCACTTTTGATATGTGTACATTTTGAATAGTTTAAATTCGAAAGTCGAATCGTATTTTGCTAAATGCAAATAAAATTCAAACCGCATTTGGAACTAAATAAATTGATAAATTCATTTCATATTACGTGTACGGATTTGCGCTTTTATCAGGGATAACAACGTTTGATAAACAAAGTTTACCTCACACATTTTTTGGTGTTTTTTTTATCTACATAAATAAATGAAGCGTAATCATTCAAATGATTTTTAAACTAAAAAAAAAAATAATTAAGTTTGCTTTCGAAATGCCAAACTAAAAGACTTGATTAACTTTGAAGTGTTTACACTTGAATTCGTTCCTTCCATACCATTGAGATACTTGTTTATGGAAAATTTGCGCACTATTTGAAAAATTCGCGAAAAGAAAATAGAGTAAACAATCAAAATGTGGTGAGAAACGTCAATAAACGCATACACAATCTATCCATTTCTTTCATCATAAACCCGATTATCTCAAGAAGATAGACAAATGTCTTTTGTTTTCGATAATTATTTTGGCGTTTTGATTATTCCATTCGAGGAAATGGTGTGCAAAATGAAAATGAATTTAAGCTATAAACTCAAACAGTTCAGTTCTTATAAGTGATTAACGAATAAATTTAACGTTCGAATTTAAATACCAACCGCGAAAATAAGTCGTTTTCTACTTGCATTCATTCATATACATTAAATAATATTTTAAAAGTCATTTCTATGTTTGGATTTGTCTGTTTCCACTATCTTTTTTTTTTTTTTTTTTTGAAAAACTTGGCGAAGAAATCAACGTTTTTGCGAAATTGTGGTAAATGAACACCACGGTATACGATGACTAAAGAACTCATAAAATTCATATTATATAAAAATTTATGTTGATAAATTGTTCTATAAGTTAAATGTCGTCATGACATTATATATTTCGCTGGTCGCCCCTTTTATTTTCAACATTTTCATACTGTTTTCACTTTGCATATCGAACATTATAACCAACAAAAATGTATATTTTATAAGTTGTCTTTTATTCTACAATTCACTAATTCACCGCAAATTGAAGATATCATGTGTTCAATCACGCGTGTTTTCAGGCATTATCCCATTTGCATTGGTGCCAATAGAAAAGAAAGAGGGCAACCACAATCTATATCAACAACAAAAAGAAATGTTTAATAAATAAAAACCACACACAACGATAAAGAAAAAATATTACACAAATATCTGCCATTTATATAAAAAATGAAAGACATTAGGAAAATGAATGACTCTTTATTTATTTCACATTTATAAACATGAAAATGTATCGAATATCGCATATGTTTGTTGAAACATTCAGCTCTTTTTTTCCGTTTATATTTAAAATAATTGTTTGCTTACTTCATTGTTAATAACATAAGCTTTGACTGTAAATTTTGAAAAAGAAAAAAACAGAATGATTCATTTAAATTCAATCAGCTTGTATGAATCCGCATCATCAAAATGGCTTATTGTAAATGTGCTAAAATAAGATATTAAAAACCAATCAACAACTATATTCGGAATAATATCGGTAAATGCACTCCTGACACATGCTAATGTGCCGCTACAATAGCGGTGTTACGGAAATATGGGCTAATCGTTCAATTCCATTTTACATATTAATCTTTTTCCGATTTAATGAGATTCAATACAATTAGTTCAAACAATGGTTATTTCAATTTCGTTTAAACAAACTATTAATATTACGTATTATCAGCTTTAGTCCGGTCGTTATTCACTATGACCAATTATCGTATTGTGATAATTATGGTTAGTTTTCACAAGTTCCAATTCCAATGAACTTTTCAAAGAGTGTTATTTGAAGGACAATTGTGTTAAAACCAATTATTGCAGTTCACAAATTTGTCATATATCCAATTGTTTTTAAATCAAATGATACATAATTAATTAATTTTGTTTCGATAGTAACAAAGTTTTGATGAAATATTAAAAGCTATTTTTAGAAGTAGCAATTTTTCATGCATTTTTTTGCAGTTTATCAAACACAAATAACGGCGAAAAGGAGAAAGAAAACGGCAAATGTTTTTTTTTTTCATGAATAAAGTTAATTGATTAACATAATGTTTTATGGATAAAATGGTACTGCTGACGCATGAAATGCGAAAATATAACAAGAAATTAAAACAAATTACATGACCTTGTTTCGAAACAAGAAAAAAATTATAGTAAAAAGGAAAAAAAAGTGAAAAAGAAAGAAAAATGCGGATAACAAATGAGCTACACAACGAAATACAAATGTATGCGAATTATTTTTTGAGCTAGGCCCACGTTGTAATTTGACAGTGTCGGAATTACTGTTGTAAAATCATTAATTAAATTTGAGCGTTTGTAATTTTGGTTCTCTTATTACTATTTGATACGTTCGATACATCCGAAGATACTACAGATTACTGTGTGTCAATGGTTTTACTAAAAATGAAAATGAAGATAGAGTTTTGCACAACACAAATAATTGACCATTTCAACATATAAATCATGACAACTTACTTTATTTGGTACCACAACACATTTCCAAACATTCGTGTGACCTTAACTTTGTGAATAAGTAGAAAAGAATATTTTGTGCGAACTCTTTTGTTGCCGTTAGCATGTATTTGCTTCTTGACTTCTGTGCGGCATGAAAAAAAAGTAATACAAATTACTTAAATGGTCGAAATGGCCGCATGTCGCGAACCGGTTCAATAGCCGATAGTCGGTGTTGGTATGAAGGCGTTTATGCCGCAAATGATTTTCACATTTGCAAAAAAAAATATTTTTTTCCCTACTAACTGGGCATGAGTATTGAGTTTATATTTTTATTTCCACTTTCATTTTGCACATCGATCCGTCAAATATTTTGTTGCGAAAAAGAAAGTATCAAAATTCGTTTGCCAACAGCCATTATTTTATTGTCATTAAACATTAATAAATAGTAATTATGCCAACGACAAGGATTTATGCAAATATAAAATAAGTAAAAGAACAATAGTAACAGTTTTTCAAATTATTTTGACAATTTTGTCACTAGAAAAAAATGTACGTGCCTAAAAAGCGATGGCAAAAAAAGCTTCATGGAAATTTAAGTAATTGGTGTGATCAATTCGAAAAATAGAAAGAAAAAACAACAATTTGTGTGTCAGTGTTAGAATGTTAAATGAATGTGCTATTTCAGTCGGCTATAGTGTGATAACCAATAATCAGTGATGTGATAGTTTGCATAAAAGAATGAAAGTGTAACCATTTGCATTTATAGTGTGTCCATTCTTAAAGTGGTGGAGAACCTGTTGTACGGAATTTGTTGGAGCCTGTGTCGTGCAGTAGATGATTGATTCACTGTTGCAACTAATCGCCAAGAAGTCAAATCAATTCTATTTATTGCCACCGTTGTAGTAAATATTTGCTAACGAAAAATAATCAAACACAACAAAAAGAAAATAGAATGTCGGACACAAATTTGAAAACTAATTCGAGCATTGAATTATCGGATATTCGTAAATTGGACATTTTATTGACACAATGTGAATCGAGCAGTTGTGAAAACATTTGCATTGATTGCTGCGCAAAGTTGGGTAGCGTTGAAGACGATGTCGATATTATTGGTGATAACAAAAACGATGAAAATGATAGCGGTGCTTCGGATAGCTTAACAACCGGCAAAGAATTCAAAGGTACTTGACAAAAACAAATTGTGTGGGTGTGTGTGTAACAAGGGCTGAATACCTTTGGAACGATTCTTATTGAATGACTTGTGTGGATAGATTTGCCATCTGGCACAAAACATCATGAATATTCTAAAATAGACATCATAATGGTTTTTCAAAATAAGTTTGCTCTACTTGAGATGCGGTTGCGGTGGCAAATCTCTTCAAAGTTTAAATTTTTTGTTAGTGTTCAATTGTCATTTCGATAAAAGTTTTGTCATTGAAATGAAATTTTCTCGTTTTTTTTTTCTTCAAACGATTTACAGCAAAGCTTCAGCGACAGCATGTGGTTAACAGTAAATATCAAACACGGTCATCCGAACAAAATGATGTGATACCAAATGTGCCTGCAATTATATCGACAAATGCCAGTCCAATTGATATCGTGCCACCAAATCCATTGTCTAATTTGGTAGCACCATTGCGGCCCAGTCGTATGGTGCAAAAATTGAGCGTTTCGGAGCATTTAAGTTTTGAAACTGATGCAAAATTGAATCAGCAACCACCACAATTCTTGCACACAAAAACTGATGAGCTTACTTATTGTACCAAATGCGGTGGACTTACGAACTACGATAAACGCAATCTCACCAAAAAACGTTACTTTAGTCTCGATAAGAAATGTAACGAAAGAACAACGAATTTCCTTCAATGCTTTGCAATAAATCCATGTGATACAAAAAAAAGTGGTTCGGAAAATTTATTGTCGAATAGCCGAAAGCAATGCTCATTCGATGGTGGAAACAGTGAAAAATCATTTGGTCGATTGTCAAATAACAATGCCAACAATTGTAAAACCAAACAAACCGGCGATGACAAGAATCACGTAAAAAATGGAACAAATTTATCATGGAAAAAAGGAAGCACTCAACGCGACTGCACCACAAGTTGTAGCAATCGATCGCTTAGAGATAAATCGTATAGATCCAGCCAAAATAGTTTACGAGATAATCGAAATAGTCGTAAAAACAGTGTATTTCTGTTTGGATCAACGGATCGCGATACAAATACACAAAAATCAAAAAAGAATTCACAACAATATTCCCGAAAAGCATCGACACGTGGCCCAATCAATTTACACGAAGAGCAAGACAGTGAAACACGCGAAATTCTACTTGGTGGCACCACATCACTCAGTAAATTTGATAAATTTACTCACGAAATTAAAATCCCCGAACCTGTCGAGGCGGTATGTTAATTTCTATCTCTTCCTAAGCTTTACATCATTTTTCTTTATTTCAAAATAAATGTTATTCATCTTTATGGTAATGCGGTACATTTAATATGATTTTCATCACACAAAAAAGACATTGGGGTCATGAAAACGTGACGATACCAAACTGACGAGAATACAATAACAATGATTAGACTGATTTTTATCCGGATTTTTTTTTTAAATATAAAAAACTCAAAGAATAAATTCATTTTATTGATATCAATAAACTGACAAAAAGGGATATTTTTAATTCACACGAAATTTGAAGCAACATTTCGAACCGATTTTAGAATTAAAAATGTTGAAAAACTGCTCTTACATATTCGTGTGCTTATTTTTTATTTCAATGGCAGCTTGTAGCTAGCAATCACCGTGTGATTTTACCGGTGGCATCAAATGTCATTTTTTCTCACTGGAAAATATGTAAAATTGTATTACTATGTTGCATGATTGGTGCTGCTGTTAGCAATAATCTCACTGGTTTATTTGAACATGAGTAGCATCTATACTTTTCAAATTACACAGCTCATACACAGCTCGTTATATAATCGTACGAATGGCACTTCAATTTGAAATTCAAATAGAAAATCACTGCGTATGTAGATTGTCGTGATGACATTTTCATGTTACCAATGGATTTTGGATCTTGACAGATTTTTACATTAAGCGAGAGTTTAAAAAAAGGAAATATATACAAATTTGAAATCTACTTCGAAAATGATTTTGACCATTTTTTTTAAATGTAAATTTTAAATGTGTTCGCTCTTAGGCGATGATAAAATTTAAGCTATTTTCGATTAATAGGGTGAGAATTTGGAATAATGTTCATTGTCGATGTAAAATCAATACGCTGTAATTTTTTGTTTTTTTTTTTATGATTATTTTTTGTGGTTTTTGTGTGCATTTAAAAAAAATATTTTTTAGAAAAAGAGCTCGTTAACTTAACTGCCGCCATCGACACGCATAAAAATAAGCGCGCATACAAGTGTTACTGCACAGATCTCGTTCATGCGGTGCACAGAGCTGTGTTTTCACAAATATTTAATAACAGCAGCAGTTAAGTTAATGGCTTATTCCAAAAGCTGCAAATTTTTCCGTAAGGTTTGATATATGCGTAAACAGCTTCATTTAATCCCCTAACTGTCTTTATATAAAGCTTGTTGACATTTTTGCTAAGCCATCATTTTATTCATGAACAACTGAACAACAAAGAAGAAAGGAGTAAACAATTGAACTTAAGCGGTTCCATTCATTTTGTGTCGCTATTTACAGCAATCCAATCAAAACATAAAAGCAAAAAAAAAAAAACAATTTGTGGGCGCAAAAGACAATGAAAAACCAACAAAGAATTTTTGTTGTTGATGATATCGTCAGCACGCTTACCCGAATGGTTCATTTGCGGACTTAAACGGAGATGTTGCGGAGCTGTGTGGAGATAGACATGAACAGTATTTAAGAACATGCGTAAGCATAGTAACCATTGCGCGCACACAAATAAAGATTTACACTCGTCTGTTGTATACTGTTCACGCCTCTTGCATACTGTTCATATCTATCTCCACACAGCTCCGCAACATCTCCGTTTAAGTCCGCAAATGAACCATTCGGGTTATTGAAATAAAGTTTACGAAGTTACGAGTATTATTTTTATAAGAAATACTTAGTGTCAGCTCGTGGCAGCTTTTCAATATTTTGTTTGGATACAATTAACCGAATGCGAACGTTTTGAAAGACATTTAACACTCCACAATAATTTGGACCTTTTTTTATTGACTTGTGTCAATCAATCATTTAATCAAATTGCAGCCTCTCGTGATCTTTGCTGACCAAACATTTACGATTTTTACGAAAAAGCTTCTTCATTAATACTTATCATCACTTATTGAGAAGAAAAATATATCCACAGCGCTGTGTATTATAAAAAATAAGTTCTAGCCTTTTCTGAATATTTGATAAAACAAAAAATGTGGAAAAATCAACCGTAATGGAAAAGTTTTGTGCAGACAATATATTTAGCTGCCATCATCTGGATATTTTAGCTCATCTGGATGCCGTCAGCAGATGATGCGTAGTGAAAACAATAGAATTGATTGTTATAGTAATACCAGTATATAACAAGCTTATATACCTATAACAATCACTTCTATTGTTTTCACTTTGTATCATCTGCTGACGGCATCCAGATGAGCTGAAATATCCAGATGACGGCAGCTAAATATATTGTCTGGTTTTGTGTAAAATATGAAATAATTTCAAGTTAATATTTGGCGTTGTACATAGAAAACAAATAAACATAGATTTTTTTATCGAGCGGAAGCACGCAATCAAGCATTTTGTTGTGGATATCAAGCAGAGCTTCAGCTAACTTTATTTTTGTTCATATAAATTGCGCCCGGTGTTCACAACCTTAGATCTCATGAAGATGATTTATATGAAAAGTTTGTATTTTGCAGTAAATTTTTTCCTCAATAAAAAATATAAAGTGTCAAGTCAAATACTTTTTCAAAGAACAATTCTTTTATCTAATTAAAAACCAGTCTATGTATTTCGGATGGATATCCATCCGAGATATTTTAGAATATCTGGATATTCAAAGCAACTGCACAGCACCAGAGCTGTGTGCGTCGCAAATAGAATCTACGATATGTCGCGACGTATATGTGTATCAAGTGTCGCACGTACACAGTCATACTGTGTCTGTATTTTACGTGTAGCGACATACCGTAGATTATATGTGCGACGCGCACAGCTCTGGCTCTGTGCAGTTGCGTTAAATATCCAGATATTCTAAAATATATTGGATGGATATCCATCCGAAATACATAGACTGTTAAAACCTTAATGTTTCTATAATTTTTTAACGAATACAAAAATCGTCGAATTATTGCATTTTAGGGAATTTTCGGTACAAAATGAAGTCAATTTTTAAATATGAATAACTCAAGTACAATTTTAATGCATTTTTCTAAAAATATATGAATCAATATTAATTCATTTTTATACGAAAATAAACACAATTTTATAGTCGTCTCTAGCAAGTGTGCACCCATGTGCGCTAAGCGGTTTCGCTTTCAATACTCCTGATAGCAACAAATGTTTCAACACACTACCAACCATATTGATATTTTGATGCACGGAAAATTGTGCACAATACATATAAACTCATTCTGCAAGCCTCAACGGAAAACAATTTAATTTCCATCGGTTTAAAGCTTTGCTGGTGAAAAAGCTTGAACACATTAAAGCTTTATTCTCCTAATATGAGCACAATTAAAATATGTATCACCATTAAGCTCTTAAACGCCTATTTGAAAAGTTTGACATCAATTGACCATGATTATATTTCCGTTCACCACAAACATTCATTCATATTGATACGCCGCGAACGTTAAAAATTATTCTAGTTGAATTAAAATTCTACACAACCAATATCGACATTGTGAATATAAAATTGTTAAAATTCCTAACGGATGTGTTGCTTTTATTTCCGCACTATATTATTCAATGATTTCAGGGCATTTATTCCCAATGCGATGTGACAAAAATAAATATTAAATAATTTAAAGTCCAGCTGTGGCCATTTTTACGACGTTCATTGTATTTTGGTTGGCATTTTGTCACGCTGGATGCTAACATTATAAAATATGTATAAATTCTTTGTTTATCCGTATCTGGCATATCAACAGAATTCTATTTCAAATTTTTCCAGGGCATTTTTTTGTTGTAATATCTGTGTGAAATATCTTTGGTTTGAACTGTCATTGAAAATAATGAATCTGCACATATTATTCAAAGAAATTTGCAGCGTAAAAAAGTGATCATTAGTGCCAAAGAAAATGCAATCCAAAGAATGAGCATTTGTATTATACAAAAGAAGAAAGAAAAAAAAAACAATATGAATTGTTGCCACTATGTCTACGGAACTCGGTATACCTAAAAATACGTATATAAACAGGTTTAACGATCCTACTCTACACGCTACCTCGTGTATATTTTGCGAAAATAGAATGAATTGGTGCGCGTTCGACTTGTGCGCAGTTTTGTCAAACGCATACATCGATTCGAAAAATGAGTCCAATAGCTGCTGCACTCAAATGCTTTTCGATGCTACACACAATTTCTGTGCTGCGAATGTAGTTGAGTGTGCCGTGGCAATGGGTAAATATTCTGAATAGATAGGGTAATTATTTCATTTCTGGCTAATCTGTTATCGTCTTTCGAACTTTGATGTGATGATGAAGTTTAGCAAAACTTTTAGACGTGCATATTTTCTTTCATATAAATTATATAAAATGCTTAGAAAACACATAACACTGGTGAGAGAGAGAGAGAAAAAAGCGAAAGCATACATTTATATTCATTTGGATAGGAACGATAGCGAATTTATCAACGGTATGCGTAAATAATGCACAAATCGATCACACAACATTTCGAATTCGTAGGTAAATTTGTGAAATTGTCATAGATGTATCAAATGTATTTGATAAAAGTATGCATTATGGTCGACGTTATTGAATGCACTATACAAATTGTTCTCAGTCATTTTGTGATAGAAGCCAACACTTTGAGCTTTCAACCCTATCATCATATCGTGATGATGGGAAACTTCGTTGCCTTTTTGTTGGCTGAATGCGTCCTAAAAATGTGTTTCTATTCTGTATTTCTGTTTGACGATGGAACAAAATAAGTACACAATTTGTCTTCATGAAAACTAACCAACATGACGGCGAAAAGTATTGCGACTTCGTTCATACAAACATCTTTATGGTATATAAGCGGATAAGGTTTATGGTATGCAGCACATACACACTCACACCTATGCGTATATTTTCAATATATTTTTCGCTTTCCCCTGTATATGTGTGTGTTGTACGAACGACGGAATATGCTATCTGGGATTGTGTGTATGAGAACAGTAATAGTATTTGGTGTGCGTAGCATGTGAAGTCCTTTAATCTGGCGAATTTTCCTTT